AAAGAGTGAGGACAGTTGGAGTGCTCCTCTTTCATGGGATTCTGCTGAAAAAATATTGTAACACATGCTTGAAATACATGATGGAGGCTGGAAAATGCTTCATTAGCCTTTTGCTCTTTGACAGTGACGATTAGACATAATCTATAATCCATATGAAAGTGCTTTTAAATTAGAGAAGTATGTGAAAATATGTTCATCTGCATCCAGCTTTGCATTTCTGATGACTGGAGACCACAGAGAGAAAAAGAGAAGCTGCTTGTCCAAGGTCAGCCCTGACTGTAGGTTCCTGGACCACCATAGCAGCAGACACTGGTGTTGTTGGGCTTTTGGAAATGTGGGGATACATTTCAGTATTTCAGATATTCCTACGCTGAAACCCCCAGTACGTGTTTCCTTTTCAATGTCACGGGCTAATTGCAGTAAAAAGTTCCTTTGTAAATTAAGTAAGTTTATCAATTATGCAAACTTCTAATAGTTGAGATTCTTCATCAGACTGATCCCAGCCAAGAAGATGAGTTAAATTTGTCTGTACCACCTCAAGATTTGCTACGGAAATCATAGGAATAGAAATACTTCTCTGCTTGCTCCTCTTTGCTGCTAAAAATATACTCAGTTTGGGAAAATATGCCTAGATTTGACTTTCCTGACCTTCTGCAAATTCTAATAAACTGTTCAGAGTTCTTGAGCAGCTGCACTGAGAAACGGTCAAAAATATCTCTTGGCACGGTTTTGCTCCGTCTATGGACTGGTCTTCCCTTTGTAAAAACAAAGACGTTTCTGTGAGTCATTTCTATTCTCTGTGTTTTTTTGATTAATACTTCTCTGAGGCATTTCTATTTTATATTCTTGTCAGCAGTACTCAAGGGCATCCAAGTACAAATTCTGCTGCAGCTGATCAGCCTTTGACCAGGCTACTTACTGGGTTGCTGGGGAAAGGACCTCCTGATGGCACAGGCAACGAAAGAGCAGGGTGGGATGAATTAGAGTTACAAGGCAAAAAGCTGAGCTTAAGTTATGAAAAACAAGTAGTTTCTGTAGAAATTTCTCATTTCCAGTAGTACACTTGAAGTTAATGGTATTGCATTAAATACTGGGACACCGCAGATAAAATATCTTTGATAGCAAGGCAGATAGATATTGATGTTTCATTCCTATTTATGGAAAAAACAGGACCGTGCCGTGACAAATTATACTCATGGCCCCAGATTGTCGATAAGCCATCTCTAAATTTAGTCAGCTGCTTTTAGCTGACTCCTGTCCTGTTCCTTTTGCTCAGATTAGAACAACTGTTGTATCAACAGCTTTGTTAAAAGTCTGTATTTCATTCACGCAGGGTCTGGGTGGATTTTTTTTGTGTGTTGTTTTGTTGTGGTTTTTTTTAATCTTGAGGTATTTCTTTAAAGATGAGAATCATGGTTCATGGCTATAGATGCATGTTGGCTGATTTCTTGTGCTATAGAAAAATGCATGCTGAGTATCTGAAGCGTGACTAGCTTTAAAGCAGTGGGGTTTTGCTAGTTCTTCATGGGTCCAAGTAGGAAATATTGCATTTTCTTTATTCTGAAGGAAGAGAGGTAAAATAGAAAGATTTTTCTCATTTTGGTTCCCTCCGTTGGGCTGTAGCCTTGTTTCTGTGGTAGTTATATCAGGATGACTTTTGCAAATAATTTGTCTGATTTTGTTTTTGTTCCACATTCTTGTGTTACTTCACCAGTGATGGATTGAAATTGCAGCAATGCTTAGAAACTTGGTTTAGCGGCAGTGAGACGAGATGACTTCTCTGCTTTATAGAAGTGGCAGAGATTTTTTTTTTTTGGCTGAGTAAGGAAAAGCAAAGTTCTTGTCTCCAAGCAGGAATTTATTCTTGAAATAAGCAGTAAAGTTCCAAGATTAAAATAGATTGCTGTAGTTGATCTCATCCCCTGCATGAGTAATTCTGGGTGGTTATTTAGCAGACTGAACAGGAGATTACAAACTCGGAACCTAGCTTTGTTTCTGGAAACTCTTGAGTAAGAAAGAAGCTGGAATAGCTCCTTTACAGGATTATCTTTACACTGGGGATAGTGATATGTAAATAATCTGCATTACTCACGTCTCCAGACTATCCATGTAGTGTGCAGCTCCAACGAATTTGCAGCTCCCTATTTCAAAGCTTTATTCTGAATATTTTTCAAATGGCAAATATCCAACATTAATAATCCACATAGCAGAACTGGGAGGAGGCTGCTGTGGGGGCAGCAGTATCACGTTGAACTTCAAACAGTCTTTTTAATAGTCAGAACAGTGGTAAGTAGCAAACTAGTTTTACTACCGTCTCGTACTTTGTTAAAAATGTAGCCTTTTGACCTGAATGTTTAGAAGCTGAGTGAATACTGTCAGATATTTCTGTTTTGTTAAATTAAGTTTGCTGAATGTGTTCCTGGTTAGGCTAAAATGTAAGAGCTGAAGACATAGTATTTAAAATGTTTTTTTTGACTGCTTTGTTTAAAAAAGAAAAATTATCTCAGTGATCCAAAGCTCCGTTGAGTTTTCATAAAGAACATTTTCAGTTTGTTTTGAACCTTTGCAGCAGTTCAGTAGAATATTTTCTTTAAAAACTTAAGTTTTCATGCAAGTAAGTGCTTGATTTATTATATTTGAGGATTTCTCTGTGTAATTACACATCAAAAGAGCTGTTAGCATGCAAAAAAATTTTTGTAAAAGATCAGCCACAGCTTTCTAAAATCTCAGTGCTGCTTCTGTTACTGGAAGCACACTGGTAATCCCACAGAAGTATTTCTTCCTGATACTGGCTTTCAGAAGCCTAACCAATATAAGTACAAGAAGTTTGTGTTTCAGTTCTCAATCACTTTGTTGAATAATATTCACGAGTCTTAAAAATGTGGGAGCTATGAGGAGAAATTTGTTAGACACTGAACTGGAGTTTTACTTAAATATAATACGTTTTTTCTTAGTACGATACTGGAGGAAGAGAAGCTGCAGCAAGAAGAACGAATGAGAATGGAATCCAGGCGACAAGTCACAGTATCCTGGGACTCAGGAGGATCAGATGAAGCTCCTCCCAAGGTAGTTAAGACTGCACGTTATATGTGTTTAAAAAACAAACAAAAACACCACTTTTTATTCTGTTTATTTCTTCAAACCCTCATTTGACCACTTCGTTCAAACAACGGCATTCTGGCCCATTTTGTCATCATCTGTTAGTACTTGCCTGAAATGACCTGGCTGTACTTGAACTGTTACTAGAACTGATCCATCCTATATCACACTAATGATTTTCTGTTTCTTTTTGTTTAACCTGTAAAAGACTAGCAGAGTTGCTACAAAATTGTTTCCTAGCCTTTTCTTTATTCTTGTAGCCCTCCTGTAAAACGTTAGCTTGTGATTTCTCAGACCACCATGAGGTTTATTTATAACACGTCAGTGAGAGGATAGAAACTAACTAACTGCATTTTCCTTATTCTGGACAAAAAATTAGGGGTTTTATATCCTGGTACAGAATGATAATGATATTTTTCATAAAGTTACAATAAATTCTGCAATCTCAAAGCAATGTTGTGGTCGCTGCCAGAAAGACTGAAGGAGCCCATTTGCAGGATAATGAGATTTTGGGGTTTTTTACTTAATTTGGTTGATTTTTCTCCCCCTGAAACACCCAGCAGCACCTTTCCTCATAAAAAACAACAAAAAACCAACAACCCCCCCCTCCAAACCACCAAATATACCTTTGAAGGTTAATGTCAAATAAAATAACTGAACACTTCTACTTTGAAGATAGAAGTGTGTTTTGAGCAACAATTTCCAACTTGACTTCTTCCAGTACTGTGAAATTTCTGTTACCTATTCTGGCAAAAGCGAGATCTGTTCAATGTGTAGAAAACCAGGCTCCTTTTCATGCAGGTTTTAGGAATAGTGCTGTCCAAATTTCTGGACTCTTTTCTCATGTATTCCTGTGATTATACATCTTGTTTGTTCACATGTATAGTATTGCCCTTCTCCTGAAGAGATAAAGCAAGATAGTCAGGTAAAGACTCTTGATAGCTGTTCTTTAGCTGTCCTTTCCCATAGGAGCTAGTTCTGGCTTGTTTTTTCTTGGCTGGGAATGGGTTGCAAAACAAAACATGGATAATGAAGCAACCCTGGAGTTCAAAATATGATCAAAAGCACTTTCCATGTTGAGGCAATTAGTTACACAGAAGTTAATTACCAGAACGAACTTTAGTCCTCAGAATAACACATGGAAATATTAGTGCTAAACAAATGAGTTTGATTTGTGTTCTGACTAAAGCCAAAGAATTTACTTTTGGGAACGGTCACAAAAGCAACAAATTAGTAGCAAAACTTTATGTACCACAGATCATTAACTTAGAAACAATGATGTATCTGCACCTGGAAACTTGATTTAAGAATTATATTCTTAGCCGATGTCCTCTCTAGAGTTAAACAGCGCAGAGCAGGTCATTTAGTGCAAGCAATTAAATAGGCACAAAGAATTCACAGAGCAAGCATTATTTATTGACATACCCAGCAAACATTATTCAGCTGCATCCATTTCCAAGCAAAAACAGAGGAAAACTTAATTTTAGTTGTTTTAAAAGAATGTTAATTGTGTTAGAATATTTATTTCAGGGTTTTTTTCTGAACTTGCTTTTGCGGTGCACCACCTGTAAATGTTTGTCTCGCCAAAGACTAATTTTCTGGTTTTGCTTTTCTGTTTCTAAACAGTCTAAAATTTCCTTTACATTTACAGCCCAGTAGGCCTGGTTATCCCAGTCCAAGATCCAGTGAAGGGTTTTATCCAAGTCCACAGCATATGGTACAACCAAATCATTACCAGGTATTGCATTTAACACTGTGCATGTGGTTTTTTCAAATGTTGGGTTTATAACTCAGTTGCAGCTGGTGGGTTTGATTCACTTCTTACACAGTTTAGTTTCATTGAGTTCTGTTAAATGCTTTTTGTTTTATGTCAGAATAAACCCTGAACTGAACCTGGTAGGCTTACTCCAGATGGCAAATATTTTCTTATCTGATATGGTGCTCAAATTCCTAAAACTGCAATGAAACACATCAGACATTTTTGTATTTATTGAAGGAATGTGGTGTTCGTGTTAACATTTGTGCTAAGCTATGAAATTACTTGCCCTGTAAAATGGCATTAACTGGTGGACTTTTCCTTGGGCATATTGATATTCTGCTCCCTGATGTTTCTCAGGAGCATTTTTATTTTCTGTTGGCTGATAGCTAACTTTAGATCTACCACATCGTGTACTCACAGGTTTTGCTTTTCTTTCTAACCCTGCTGAAGAAATTTAAAACAAAAGTTTGTCATGAAAGTGCTTTAAGCATTCTTGGGTTTATTCAAAGCTACAGCCATACACAACTGTCTCTGTTGAGATTTTTTTTTTTCCTTGGAGAGGAGGAGGTTTTTATTGTTTTAGTGAGTACTTCAAACTCATTAAATCACTACTTTGATTTTCCTGTGGAGAAGTTCTCAGGCCACGCAGCTGAGCACAGTAATTACATGGTGTCACTCAAGACTTAAGCTTGTAACATACACTGGGGAGTACATTTTATATGGCTCCAGAGGGTGATGTGTGCAGGCTCCTGCTGACTTGAATATGAGCTCTGCATGTGTGTAGCTCTTACAGATGTATCGGTACGTTTCTTTTTGTTCATCAGTGGACTTTGATAATCTTGACTGCAGAGGTTAAAACAGACTTTATAGTGCTGTTGTTTTGATAGGCATCCTCAAATAGTTACAATTATCTTCAATAGCTATAGTTGTAATTCTGTATATTTATATATAGTTATTGTTACATTACGACAAGTATCCTCAAAGACTTAAAAAAGAGATTTTGTGTCATATTTTGGCTCAACTTTCTTCTTCTGATGTTGCTTCCCCTCCTCCCTGTCAGTGACTGCTTGAATTGAGTCATTTCTCCACTCCCATATTTGCTCCCTTGGGGTGGGGAGGAAGCTATTAATTATGGGGAAGCATAGATCTTATTAATGTCATTTTTTTTCTCCCCCCCACAAAGGTGTCTGGCTACCCTGGCTCTCATGGGATACCAGCCATGGCAGGCAGCATTTATCCTGGGCAGGCTTCTCTCTTGGATCAAGCAGATTCCTGGAACCATCGGCCTCAGGAAATACCAGTGTGGCAACCAAACATGGAGGTACCATGAACTGACACATCTGTTGTTGTGCTCTGTACAGTAAATACACTTTTTTTATTATTTAGGTACATCTGGATATTATTGCAGGAAAATGAAGTGTTTCTCTGGTATTTTTAAATTGCCTTACTGCAATGGCAGTCATGACTGAATTATTTTCTTTTTGAAACAAATCCTCCTGTGTGAGGTTGGGTATAAATTGTACACAAATTCTTGATGAAACTATTACTCCTTATCTTAACTAAGTGAGTGATAGCAAATATTTTGCATTTGTTAAAATAAGGCTTTACTGAAACTTACTGCTGTTAGTAGAGATGGGAACATTCATGTAAAAATATGTAGTATCATTACTGTTTAAAAATACCTCTCGTGGGAGATATCCAGCATAGTTAATATATCTGAGGCTTCTCGTTAACTTATCCAGAACAGAAAATGAAATGATCTGCAAAACTGTTCTTGAGTTGTGTTCCTGTGAGGTGCTTCTCAGCCTGTCCTGATTGCACAGAGCTGCTGCTACGAACATCAAATTAATTCCCCCTTTAACCTTTTGTCATTTGTTTTCTGTTCTCCTCCAATATTTTATACTTTTTTCGTTCCATTTTATCCCTCCTACAAAGGTTTGCTTTGTTCAGGTTCTGTCTTAGATAAATCAGTTTCCTGTCCAACCAGTGCTCTATTCCCTGTGCCTCTGATAAACATTTAAGTGATAACTGAGGCTTACCTGTTAAATACAGGTAAGCAGATACATGTCCACGTCTTTAATTTGCCTCTGCTTACTCTTGCTTGATTTAGCATGGCCATTGCAACTTGCTGCCACGCTGTTCTTGTTCACAGTGTATATAGTTGAGGGTTGTAGTCTCAAGTAGTTCAACATCCTTGCAGATTATTGACTCTAGAAACAACTTAGTCTACCTATGTCGTGCTTGAATGAAGTGTTGGTGGAAGCATATCATTGCTTTGCACGTGTTTGTAATATACAGATAAAGTTTTCACAAAAGCTTGGGAAGTTGGTTACCTTAAAACAACCTCAGTGAAGCAGTTACCAAACTTCCCTTGGCTTTTTTAAAAGTACTAATTTACACACTCTTTGCTAATGATTTCCAGATATCATTGGGCTGTGGTATATGGAGTATTGTAAGTTTCAGACATTCATAATAACTTGTTCAAAAATCCATTTAAAATGTTTTTGCTATATGTTTTGTAAGTGTCAGCTAAAACTGGAGAGCATATTTGTTTTAGGTAAAAAAATGTGTCTTGCAGCTTTTAACAACTGGGTGGTTCCATTATTGCTCAAGACCAAGAAAATGAAATTGATAAATCTGTTTTTGTTGACCAGCTTAAATGAGTGCAATATATGAAGTGACAACGTTACTGAAAAACAGAACAGAATTTTTCAAATCTTTTTGGTCCCAGGGATTAGGAGCAAGGCAGATAAAATGTTTGTAGATGGAAAGAGTTTCTTCTGATGGTCTGCTTCAGTTTATAAGGCGTTGATGGAACTCTCCTTGACTGCTGTTGTGCATTTGGGCTTTTAAAAATCTATTCTTTTACAATCTGTAAGTTTTTGCAGCTGTTTATACCAATTTTAAGTTGTGAGACTGAATAAACTTACTCTTTTTTGTAGGATTCAGGCACTTTGGACATACGAGGAATGAGCCAGGTTCTACCTACACATCTCATGGAGGAGAGATTGATACGACAACAACAAGAGATGGAAGAAGATCAGCGCTGGCTTGAAAAAGAGGAACGATTCCTGGTAATACTTGGCTTCATCGTGCTTCTTAATTCATTCTGATTTTTCAAGGTTTTTTTATTGCAGCTTGCTAAATCTGATCACTTCTGTGAAACAAGAGCATTTGCTGAACGTAGGAGTCACTACCAAAATGTAGGTTTGGAAACAGTTTTTAAATTAAGTGTTCCACTGGTAAGTACTTGAGTCCTGTATTTCAAATACCTTGAACAGCTGCATTTTTAGTCAGTCTCACATTATCCAGTTGAGTTATTTATGTGTTGGAAGTTGTGGGTATGATTCTGTGCCAATCTGGAGAATGCCTGTTTGTTCTTCAGGAGATAGATCTGTGCATGATCTACCCCTAAAAACAGGATGACAATCAGCCAGCTAACAACCCTGGCTGTAGTAAGAGTTGTAAGCAGTCTTGCACTGGAGGAATAATGAGACATTAGTGGGAAGAAATAATTTAAGAGGGAGCTCTGTGAGCTGGGGAAAAAGTACTGAACATCACTGAGAGGAGGAAGAAGAAATGCATTGATAATGGGATCTTCTGCTGCTGGGTCTCTGCAGTTCCATGTTGTCTTGTTGTCAGTGCCACTGGTGGATGTTTTTTAGTTCAGCTCTGGCCTCCTGGTTGTCCAAATTTTTAGTTCTGTGTTAAAATTCTCCCACTCAAGAATGCTGGCTACAGATGCAGCAGAAGATGGTGGTAGCATATTACTCCATATAGGCTCATGCTGAGGAGCCTATGGCTGCGTGAACCTTGCTTGGCAGGTAGATAATTTACAGTGATATGAGTTGTGTCAAACATCAGTCACATGTTTGCTCTTAAGAAGCATATTTCAAGGGATGTTTTGGTTTGGAAACTTTTTATGTTGTACATAGTGACAAAACATGCTTGTATAAATGCAGCTGCCATGGGTTTGTTACAAGAAGTAAGTTTGAATAAATACATTCTCTGTTTAAAGCACATTATTATAGTGGTCTGTGGTTTCTGTAAGAGTTCTCTGCACTGTCTAGAGCTGGTCTCCAGGAAAATCTTAGTTGTACAGATGAATTATTTTTATTTGAGACACCAAAACTGCTGGTCATGGTTGTCTTGCAGACCTAGAAAGAAGTCTTTTAGGGATCTTGAAACTGAGACATTGAGTTCCTTGAAAATAAGAATTTATGCTTTGTTCTACAGGAAGCCAGTGGGTGGGAATGGAGAGCAGATCTTGTACGTAGACGATGTTACCAGGACCTTATTCCTTGACAATTGAATTGTCTTAGTCTCTCGGGGGTTTAGTTATGTATGGTATCAGAACTGTTCAGAGCAGCTGATAGCTGTGAGGACAACCAAGGTAGGATAAATCTCTACTAGCTCTTGAGAGCTACTGATAGATGCCCCCACGTCCAGTACATGTTCTTGCCAAGATCCAGATTGTGCCAGAGTTAAGCTGTTACTTTTGATTAAAGGATGTTGAAGCTTGCTTTTGGCTGGTTTCCTTGTAAGTGCACTTGGGAATTTGTGGTTTGCTCTTGGATGACCATAAAGAAACCACTGTACCCAGATTGCTTTGTCCAATTTATTATAAGCTGAAGAGAGGGAGGGGAAAGGAAAATTTCTTCCCTAATTTAGGCATTAGCTTTTCCAGTCTTGAGTGGCACCAGTTGCTTGTGACTTTCACAAGCCCAGGAGGTCAGATTGATCCCATTGTCCGTTAAAACTTTCAAGATGGTAAAGAACTTTTTGAGGAATGAATATGCTTACTGAGAATGAGGCATTGTCATTTCAGGTGGCAGCAGATCGTGTGGGAACTTTCTTGCAGAAAACTTTTTGACCATTCTGGCTTTTTCTGCAGAATAGATGATAAGTATTTGTAGTGTTTGTTACCCTGTTTTGGTTCAGCTTCTGGACCATTAGGATGTTTACAGTCCCCCAAACTACTGCTTGAGGAGGGACTTGCTGGTTTTTCTTTTGATCTGTGATACAGTCTAAACATATGTCTGTGAAATAATGACTGTGTTTTCATTATGTGTTAGTTTTAATTGCAAGGAGACACCATCTTTATTGCCACCCCCTGCCCAAAGGAGAACTAGCACTGATGATCTTGTGAGCAGCTCTGCAGCTTTGCCAGAGCTGGATTTGGTTGATGTAAATCCTTAGAGCGTTAAAAAGGCAAAAAGCAGAGAGAGTTTGGGTGGAAATAAGCATGGACTTAAATGGCCAAAATGAGAAATTGGAATCCGTAAGAGACTTCAGTTCTTTTTCTTTCTGCATTTTGACTCTACAGACTTTGGGGTTTATACTTGAGTGCCTGTTGCAGATTTATACGCCGTATCAAAAGCCAGACAAGCTAATGATACCCACCCATAGCGGGATGGATCTCAGAGGAATCTGCTCTTTATAGATGGATGTTTTTTGGAAAAGGAATGTGATTTTTTAGGTTTAGTCCTGAAGAAATCAAGATGGTAGAAAAGTAATGTTTGGGAATCACTCTTGGAGGCCTTGCAGATCTCCTGAAGGATAGCCACTCTCATACATGAGAGTCCCAGCACAGATCCAATGTAGAAATAATCCGTGTATTGTACGCACACACTTCTTGTCCCATGTCCTCTAGTGAGTGAGCAGTGACATTTCTTCTCTTGGGAGAAGGGACTTAAGGGCAGTTAATGACAAAACAAGGGGAAATGGGTTTAAGCTGAAAGAGGGGAGGTTTAGATTTGATATTACGAAGAAGTTCTTCACTGTGAGGGTGGTCAGACACTGGAACAGGTTGCCCAGGGAAGTTGCGGCTGCTCCTCCCTGGAAGTGTTGAAGGCCAGGTTGGATGAAGCTCTGAGCAACCTGGTCTAGTGGAAGGTGTCCCTGCTGATGGCAGGGGGGTTGGAACTGGATGATCTTGTAAGGTCCCTTCCAACCCAAACCATTCTATGATTCTATGACTTCCCTAATTTTATTCCAGATGATTTAGGAGGCAGAAGCAACTTATTTTTTTTCCAAATTTATGTCGTATCTCGCTTGCTTTGAGATGTCCTTCTGCAGTAACCTATAGATTTTGATAAAATTATTTTGCTGAAGTGTAGCTTCAGGCAGGTTTCAGAATATTTTTCCTTTTGAGCACAGGGAACAATAGAGAGAGTAGAGCCAGATTTTAATTTTTAACTTATGTAGCCATACAGTGTCATGTTCTCAGTTTAAACTGGCTGCTTTCAAAAGCAGCTCTATTTACACAGACTCCTACAGTATATCTCACTTCTACTACTGAGAATTGGACACACAGGGGAGCAACTGCAAATACTTTAATGTAAAACACTGCAACAAGAAGGAAAATCCTCAGTGGGGTTTCTGTTAGTAGTTGTTTCCCCAGAGTAACACCAACTTGCTCATGACTTGAAATTTATTGCTGCTTCTACAGGGAAAAAATGCAGCTCAAAGCATGTTAGTACACGTTATAAACGGCACTGATGCTGTGTTTGCTGGAAGAGACACCCCAGATGAAGAATGAAGTTGCAATGGCATTGAAATGGAAATTTGCCAGTCTTTGGAGAGGTTGTTATCTGTGTAAGCAGTTTGCCTGAAACTGGTCCTTTGAGAACATGTGACTAATACTCGAAAGGAGATAGAAATTTTTTTTGCAAGCTGCAGCCATAAAAGAATCCAGAATCCTGAAAGATAAAACAAACAGATCCCTCTTCATGGGAAGCTCCTGAATGAAAAGGAATCTGTTGGGTAAAAACTGAAGAGTAAAGAAGTGTTTAATTTTAAATTGTACCAAATATATCTACTGGGAGGTGAGAATTGGTGGGGGGAGGTTGATTTTGGGAGACATTTTTCCCAGAACTGACACTCCTTCCCACCCCCTGCTAGGGAGGGGATGTTGCACACTAGTCTGGTAGCTTTAATGGACACTGATTAAACCTGTGGGCTTTCATGCTCTCTTGATAAAAGTGCTTTGGATATCAGCATCTCCAGGAAGGAGGACAGAAATATCTGAATTAGTTTTGAGGAAGCTGAAGCGAAGACAAAGCATTACTGCACTTCAAGCTTGATACAGGTAACTACAGAAGCCAGTCTCTGTCCAGGACATACACAGGTGGAGGGGTGAGGTGGCTGCAGTGCAAACACATTACATCAAAGAGGTGGAAGTTTGCTTGGCCACCTATGTAAGGAATCTTACTGCTAGGGGTTTTTAGGTGCTGCAGTCTTGTGGGCTGAGATTTTCACTTATATCCTGTGATGTTTGGACCTCAGTTACACAGACAATATCCCAAGAAATACATAAAGTTCTCATTCTGCACTTTCTCCTGAGTTGTTTTTTGTTCCTAGGGGTATTTCCATCCCAAAAAAAGAAAATTGACAAGGATTGATCAAGATTTTAGTTGCTAGTATATATAGAAGCAGAACAAACAGCCTCCAACCCCAAAAGCAGCGCTTCACAGAATCACAGAATCCCACAGAATCGCCTCAATTGGAAAAGACCTTTAAGATCATCCAGCCCAGTCATTAACCCAACATTGACAAGCCCTCGACTAACCCATGTCCCTCAGTACTGTGTCTACACAACTCTTCAATCCCTCCAGGGATGGGGACTCCACCACTGCCCTGGGCAACCCCTTCCAATGCCTCGGAACCCTGTCAGCAACGAAATTCTTCCTCACATCCCATCTCAGCTGCCCTTGGTGCAACTGGAGGCCATTTGCTCTTGTCCTGTCACTTGTTCCTTGGCTGAACAGACCCACCCCCACCTCTCTCCACCCTCCTTTCAGGGAGTTGGAGAGAGCCAGAAGGTCTCCCCTCAGCCTCCTTTTCTCCAGGCTCAACAACCCCAGTTCCCTCAGCCGGGAACTCAGCACACTTGTGCTCCAGACCCTTCCCCAGCTCCGTTGCCCTTCTCTGGACACACTCCAGCACCTCCATGTCCTTCTTGGAGTGAGGGGCCCAACACTGAACACGATTGCAGTGGCCTCTCTGCTGCTGGCACTTCTAGCTCAGTGTAACTAAAAGATGTGGCCCATTGCCCTGCAGTCTGGCAGGCGTG